ATAATACTAATTTTAGGTAATTTGCATATAACTAAAAAAAATTGAGTGAAAAAATCTCAAACTTTGTCATTGTCATTTACACACAACATACTCCCTCCCCAAAATTTTGGATATTTCCCTCTATTGAAAACTTTCTTTATTTGCAAATTACGGACGGGAAGCTATTTGAGATAATGTAAAGTTTTGGAGGGTTTTATGAGACACCCATAGTTTAGGGGGGTTGAGCGAGATAAATAAAGTTCCAGGATGTTATGTGCAGCAACACCCCAAAGTTCAAGGGGAGTTTTCTCAAATTAACCCTAAAAGAACTTCAGCTTCACGATTTATACTTGTATGAACCCCTGTCATTGTTGCCATGTTCGTAGCTGAAAATTAAGTTTATGTTCAAACTCAAATTGTAATCTATCGTGAACATCTACAACTACAAATATAATTAATGGCAAAATTTTACGACTAGCTTGAATAATTGTGACTTCGTTACTGTAATCCTATGCAGTCGGTACTTACATTGAAATTGCCACTACTTTGATATTGATATATAAAGAGATAATCATACCATATCATATCATATCATATCATACTCCTTTTAAAAGTACGAGTTAGGGAAAATCTTTTTATGGTCAATATTACCATTAACTTTATTTTTAAATATTATATTGTTATCCTAATATATTCTAATTTTTCTATCCTCTTTGAATTTATAATTAACTGGTTTATCTTATCCATAATGAGACTTACCATGTTATTAGATAAATCATACTTCTTTTAAAAGTACGAGTTGGGGAAAATCTTTTCATTGCCAATATTACCCTTAACTTTTTTAAATATTATATTGTTATCCTAATCTATTCTAATTTTTCTATCTTCTTTGAATTTATAATTAAATGATTTATCCTATCCATAATGAGACTTAACATGTTATTGGATAGAAAAGATTCGTTTGATATAATTCAAATCTTTTACTTATTTTATTTTGCAGAAAAATCTAAAAAATATATGTTAGCTAGCACCTAAAAGTTTTTGGATATTATAAAAAATATCCTCTAAGTTTTTAAAATTACAAAAACACCCCTACAAATTCAAAATTTTATTAAAACATCTTAAAAATTATAAATTTTATTTATTTTAATTCAGTGAGAAATCTAAAAATATATATGCTAGCTAAAAAATAAAAGTTTTTAACATTGGATAAAGTATCTTGTAAGTTCTGAAAAATACAAAAATATATGTTAGCTAAAAAATAAAAGTTTTTAACATTGGAGAAAGTATCTTGTAAGTTCTAAAAAATACAAAAATACTCCTAAAAATTCAAAATTTATAAAAAACACCTTAAAATTTTCAAACCTATAAACACACTAAAAACCTACAAATAACACAAATAACCCTCAAAAAATTATGGAATTTAAAATAAATACTCTAAACATTTTACAAATTGTAAGATAAAACCCTCAAGATTGTAAATTTTATAAAAATCCTAATATATTTTAACCTAACAATACATTGAAAATATAGGAGTTACAAATATCCCATGCATAATTTATAATTTATAGAAAACACCCTTAAAATTTTAAAAATTATAAATAAACACTCAAAATTTAAAATTTACAAAAAAATCCCTAATAAATTCAAACTCATTAGTAAATTAAAAATATAGGAGTTATAAATAGTCTATAAACAATTTATAATATGTAGAAAAGGCTTATAAGTTTAAAAAATTATAAAAAACCCTTAATATTCATAATTTACCAAAAAAAACATCATGAGAATTTCTAACCTATAGACACTAAAATGAATATACAAAATTACTAGCAACACCTAGAAAATAAAAAATTATAAAAAATATCATACTTCCTTTAAAAGTATAGGTTTAGGAAAAACTTTTCATGATTGATATTACTCATAACTTTTTTAAAAAGAACATAACTAATTGAAAAATCTATTAGATTTAAAATTTACAAAAAAAAAACAAATTTAAAGTTTAGTACATTGCAAATTACCCCTCCAAAATTTAAAAATTTTTAATGATTTTTTTGTAGTTC